TAACATGAAAATTTTACTGCTTCACTAACAAGGGCCGGAGCGAACGGATACGTCCAAGTGTGTAGGTACCTATGCAATTCTGTTGGAATATTAAATTAACGTGTGCTTTATAACCAGGTTAAAGTTTACTAAATTGTTTTTCGACGAAAGTATGTGGAAAGCTTATTGCTCATAAAAATGACATTAAGATCAATTTTTGTATTATGTCTGATTAAGACCGTTTTGCGAAAGACTGCTTCATATTATTCGTTCGAATCATGCTTTATGGTAGATAATTGTAATTTTTATGAACAAGTGAAATTAGAAACTACCACAAAAGTGATAATTTCGTCAAATGTTACTACCAGTTTGTTGATTTTGTATATTTGCCAAAGGTTTTTCGTAAAGACACAGAAGTTCATTGATAGTTATTTTTTGCTGCGCGGGCGGGCATATGGTGCGGTTATAAGAAAAATCTTGTTAACAGAACGTAAACAACAAGTTCTAAAAATATACAAAAGACTGTAAAAACTGTAAAATTATACAAACGAATATAATAATTAACATTTTACATGTCGTTTGATTCTATACTTTTTAATGTAAGAGGGCAAAAAGAAGCTGAAAAAGTCAAAGAATACTTACAATATTCCATCAACAGCGAGATGGAATGTTATTTCGTTCGTAAATATGTTATCTGTTTCCTATTTTACCACTTATGACAGCCGCAGGTGTGTATTTTCGGAAACAAACTTGGCGAAGGCAAAAAAGCTTATAGCTTTGAAAATAAGATATTAAAGTGTTGGCGTCAGGAAATCCCTTGATACGTCAGAACGCTGTGAAATTTGACTATTTTTCCGGATCGAGAAGAAGAATGGGACCAGGAAGTCGTTTTTATGCGAAAAAGAAAAACAAAAACAAAAAACCACATGACTCAACGTCCTTTGTTGAGATGTTTGCACCTCTTACAAAAATTCTTTTTATAAATAGAATTACCTACCAAAAGTTCAGATCGCTACTACCTACGGGGAATAAACAAACTCCTACAGAGTTTAATATACTTATTTTTGTATTTGAAATGATGGAGGGACCTACAATAGACAATACCAGCTAATATCTTTGGTATTAAAGAGTTTATAGATAATAATAAAAACTGTATGATCAATAGTAAAAAAATAGGTAAAATCAAATGCAATTTTGCAATTAATAATATGGATTTAAGCAACTTCAGGTAATACCTCTATTAGTCTATTTCCACAAACTCAAAAAGCACTAAATTAATTTTTAAACGATTTTCATTGATTTATAAAACTTCACCATCATCATTGCCACCAAAAGGAGATTTCGGTAAAAACAGTTTTGTGGAAGTTTTAACTAAAAACAATCTTACAAATTTTGACGATTAAATAAATAAATAAATATTTTTACTGTTAAAGAGAACTGTTTAGGAGAATTTGATAACACCAGGTCAGTACTCAGATCTAACAGCTAAAATTATAAATAAATTGTATCTTAACTGATTGTTACTGATTTTATAAAGTTTAGTCATATAATGGGTGCGATTTACATTGCATACGTCATACGTCTATACTGAGAAAGTAATGGTAATAAATGGGTATTAGGCGTTTGGCGTTTATCAGTTTTACGTTTCAGAGCAACTTCATTGACTGCATATCGTATGGCCCACGCTTGTAATACATAATGTATAAAGTACTCGAGGTATGGGTTGAAGACATGTGTGGGTGCGATTTCTACCATTAAATAGCCACCGCCAGACTGTTCTTAACATTGCACCTTTTGCCTCCGAGCTACCGGTCCCGGCGACGGACGAAGCATCCACAGTACCTACTAATTAAAACAGGGGAGACACAAAAACTAAATTTGTGTTTACGTCTCTTCAAATTAATCTCCTCCGCGGCAACAACATCAACAATACGCTCTAACCTTAACCACCTACGTACGTTTGCTTTACAAAGACAATAAAAGACTGAGGATTTTTTCTGTATTTGCCGTTCACCCGCGATGCGCAATTTTATGTGAAGAATATTAAGTTGAAAACATTTTCATTCTCGTAGTTCCATTTTAAATACGAAATTAAACCTTCATAGGTAATGTAAAAGACAAAGAAATTAATTAAAAAGTGTGGGCAAGGGTCCTGTATGAGTGCTGAGGGTAAGGCGGATTTAATGTTGAGCGCTCGCCCTTTGATTCGGACGCAGTTTATATATTCCAATCTTCAAAACCCCTAAATGAAGATTTAGAACGTTTAAAAAAGTATAACTTGAGATGTTTGTGAAACCAAATTATTTTTAGTAGTAACATCAACTCAAAAGAAGATGTGAAATAATTGTCTAAAATAGATTCATTTGAACTGGCTTTGAGCGTAGAAATCAGCATGCAGAAATAGTAAATGTTGTGTTGAGAAATTTAATAAATCGCTTCGCTTACTGAACGTATAATTTACTGGTTAATTTATGCACATTCTTTGCAAATTTTCTCATTTGCTTTTTGATTTGAATATGTCCCTTTTTTCAGATCGTTATCTAATACGCCATGATTAAGCCTTTCGTGTACGATGTTACACTTGAAGGCATTACGAAGGATTATTTATACTACCTGTAATAACGCAAATATCTCTATGTGGGTAATCTTGCGTATGTAATTAAATCAAACGAAAAGGATTCTTCACTTCTTAAGGATTAAGGATTAGCCAATAAATTAGCGAATTTATATTCAGAAAAACAAGCACTATAAGGACAGAGAGACACTTTTGTGTATTCATTAGGCATTAGTTCCGTACACGTCCCTTGATTAAGTAATCTCAATAAAAACATGTTCAACTGTTATTATTATTATGTATGTTTGGAATGTGGCGCTGTACGGGTGAGAAACATGGACAGTGGGCGCAGCGGAAAAGAAAAGGTTAGAAGCGTTCGAAATGTGCTGTTACAGGCGAATAATGAGGATACCGTGGATAGAGAAGGTTAGAAATGAAGATGTATTAGAAATAATAGGAGAACAGAGGACTATGGAAGTCAATAAGAAATAGGCAAGATAGGTTGGTAGAACACCTTCTTAAGCGTGTCTAGTCAGAGAAATATTAGAGACAGAAACGGGAGTTACGAGGGGTAAAGGTACATCTAGATTAGATTACTATTCGCAAATAGTTAATTATGTAGGTTGTGGATATAGAAGCTTAGAAATGAAGAGATATTAAAAGGAATAGGAGAAAAGTCAATAAGAAATAGGCGAGATAGGTTGGTAGGACACCTTGTCAGGCATGAAGGTCTAGTCAGAGACATATTAGAGGCAGATACAGGAGTTAAGAGGAGTAGAGTTAGACCTAGTTTAGATTACTGTTCGCAAACCGTTAAGGATGTGGGTTGTTCTAGTTTCAGGGAAATGCGAAGATTGCCTCAGGATAGGAAAGACTGGAGGTGCGTGTCCAACCAAGTCTTAGGACTGACGACCTCATGATGCTGTTTAAAACAGATGTTGATTTGTTGGTTTAGAAAAGATTTCATTATTTAAGAAGTATCTCGTTGAAAATTCGTTTAAAAATTTATGTTGGCTTGGACTTGTAAAGTATGCATTCAGTTTTATGAGAACCGATGGCATCGAATAGTGTGCTCAGTTTACCGCAAAATGAGAATAGTTGGATGCAGAAAAAGAACTTCCGTCACATGTCAATAAATCACCGCGTCCTTATCCTCGTTAATAGCTTTTGCATTATAATTTATAGAGGCGGCGGCATTATAACTTTCAGGCGATCGCGATTCGCGGCAGCTACCAAACGATCCTTGCGCTCCACAAAAACGGAATTAATTCGAGAGCAGAAAGAACGATACAGTCAGCCACAACGCGAGTCGGTAAAAAAAGGACGAAACATGCAGTAATGCGAAACACATTAGAGTGATATATCGGGCAGGTACAACTACTCACCTCGCCATTTGTCATATATACCTAACCACTTTGACTTTGTTCTGTTTCTACTCAACTCAAATCTTCGCGACAAATAACTCACAGCTGCTCGAACGGGTCATTGGCAGTAACAGCATTTACACACGTTGCACTAAAAGTTAGTAATTTTTGCCTAATTTACCAATTAATTATATCTACATACATATATAATACGCCCTTTTATTTAGTTTAAAATGTTGCTGAATTGAAAGGTTGCTAACTAAAAATTACGACGGCCTAGCGACAAATAATTAAGCATCAAATATAAATAAATATCTACGGTACAATTATTATAAATCCAAAAATGTGATAAACCTACGTAATAAAATGTTGTAATAAATTACGTAACTTAATACGTCCACAAGCATTTCAATATAATGACTGATCATTACTTTTTACAATGAATTTCATCATGTACTTTCAATTGCATAAGGCTTGGAAAATTAAGGAAAAGGTTCAATATGAAAATAGCAAGTGTCTAAGTGTAATTACAGTGTTGGTAATCATCTAAAGATATATTTTGTTGTGTATATGAATCAGAATACTAGTAAAAAGAAAACGGAAATGGAAGTTTAAGAACCGTGAAGTATGTAACGTTAAGTATGCAACCTTTGTGGCAAAAAGGCACCCAAGCTATGGGCCAAACAATTTTGTAAAATTATTATTCTCAACGTCCAATATTACATACATTGAGTAAATAGTTGTCATTACAGTTTGAAATTAAAAAAAGGCCTGCTTTTATTAGAATTTTAAATAAACTTGTACCTATTATTACAATTACAACTTTTTGGGGCTAATTATGGAAAAACTATGTAAAATAGTAATCGTATTTTAGTTATAGAAACGCTCATACAGAACACAGACCAACTTTTACCTGCTGTCTTAACAGTTTAAGTTTAAAAGTTGGTCTGTGTTCTGTCGGAGCTGCCTGCGACGCGCTGATGAGATCCAAAAAGATCGAAATCGCGATCCGCGTCTAGCAGTTTCGACAGAATACANTGATCAAAATCATAATAATTTACGTCAGAGTCCCAATATAAAATATTAAAAAAAAATATACTTACCCTGGCACCCTTCTGTAGAGAACCCGAAATGAAGATGCTGGCACGCGTCGCAATGGAACCCTTCAACCCCGACTTTGCACTCACAAATACCCGTTTGTGGATGACATATTTTCGACACTGCACCGATATCGTCACAAACACAAGGAACACATTTAGCAGTCATATTGCCGTAACCCTCCTAAAAAAAAATAAAAAATAGATAAATCCTGATTTTTTTATATACCACTTACATGTTTAGATCTACTCAAATTAATTAAATTCGGTTAAAATTACAATTACAAAAATTAAATTTTACCTCGCATCGATCACACGTCCTTCCTGTGAAATGTTCCCTGCACTGGCATTGTCCCGTAATATTATCGCAATTTTGAGAATAAGAACCTTGAGAGTCACACAAACAAGCCTGACAGTTGGCATTTAAAGGGTCCCCAAAATGTCCTGATTTACACCGCTCACATTTCCAGCCTTCTGTGTTCCCTGGGCAGGCCAAACATTGACCAGTTAGTGAGTCACACGGTCCACCACCGCATGAACACGGTTCACACTTGCTACCCAACCGTTTTGGGTTCCCAAAATAGCCATCGTCGCAACTGCAAGATATATAAAATAATCAAAACCCGATTTACAGCACGGTGTTCGTAAAGGAACTTACATTTCACAGTGGTCACCGGTATATCCTTTTGGGCATTGAGTGCATACGTATCCAACCTCCTCCTGATCTTCCTCACTGTAGAAATCCAATTGACAACTAGGACTGAAGTTATTTTCGTCTTCTATTAACGGACAAGCACATCTCCTACAATCGAGAGGGGTTCCCATCAAAGGATTACCGTAAAATCCTGGTTTGCATCGTTCGCACTTTTCCCCTATGGTATTATGTTCGCAAGTACACTGGCCAGTGTCAGGATCGCATGTTTTTGAATGCCCATTACAATCGCATTTTACACAAAATCCTTGCAGCTGAGGCACTGAAGAATTGGCAAAGATTCGAACATATCCATATTCGCAGGATTCGCAAGATAATCCTGTGTATCCTGATGGACAGGAACATTTCTCTACTGAGCTGTATGACTCGTCTTCGCCAAGTTCTCCAGATTTTAAAATAACATATTCCAAGGTTCCGTCGATTTGATCTGTGTGATAACTGGCTCTGATTAGGATGTGCTTGATATTGGCGAGAACGCTCATGAACTGAGCCCTGCTTACAGAATCTCCCTTATATTCAGCCTGTTTTGACCTCGTCACTATGTCTTTGATAGAATATGGAATCTGATACCAATTGTTTTCGTTTAAGACTATTTTGAAGAGCATACTCGAACCCGAAAATTGATCTTCGCCAAAACCTATTTTAAGACCATTCTGACCAACTAAAATAATATTCGGCCCAATTGTTGGTTTTCCACTGGTATCACCCCTTATAACCGTCCAGGATACACTGAATGTCAACGATGACCCGTAGCTTTCCAATTTGTTGCCCAAATATTCCTTGGGTGCTAGCCAGTAATAGGCTTCAGTCCCCAGACCTTCGTAGTTTTCGATAGTAACCGAATTTGTCTCAGGGTCGTAGATGGGCTTAACTAGTCCGGTGATTGTGAGGTCGGTTATCAGCCAGGCTTCCCGATTTTCATACTGGTAAATTAAAATGAGAAAGTAATGGAGATAAAAAGGTACAGGAAATTAACAACTTACTGTTCGCGCTACTAAACTTGCTGATTCGCAAAGGGTAGTTACCCCGGAGCAGAAACAACTTAAGCAACCGTCGGAGTTGTCGTTTCTCAGAGCGAAAAAGCCAGGCTTGCAATTTTCACAAAATTTTCCTTCCACGTTTTTCTGAAAATTTATCAAAAAATATAGTAGAATTGGGATCCGTCAAATGGGCACACACCATCTGGTGGCAAAATTTATAACTCGAATGAGGGAAAAATTTACGTAGGAACTGTGCACGCAAATTGTAAAATTGTTTATTAAAATAATAAAACANATCATCATGGTGTCTTCTGTCTCAGAATAGATACGCATTTCACATTATTTCTATAATTATCTACATGCGAAAAATGATCTAATCTAGGCCTTATTCTACTCCTCTTTACTCCTGTTTCTGCTTTTCATAGAAAATCTTATCAGCCTATAGCACCATATCTCAATTATTTGTATTGTCGCAAATTTTCATAAAAAAAAACTGCATATTGAAAAGATCTTTACAGTAGTTCCCACTAATTTGCTTAAAAATTCTATAACAAAAGAAAATTCTCAAATCCTTAAGGTTCACTGATGAATACAGTGTACAGAGAGTAATTATAATTGAATTTAATTAAAATTACAATAAAGAGGTGGTTGTTAGTCGCCAAATTTCTGGTAGTCTTTGCTCGCCTTTGTAAGGACACACAACTGCCAATAAGCCGGTGACGTTTGACGTTTCTCAGTTGCTGCAGACGGACCATATTTGAGCAAAGAGCTAAGCGCCAGCAGCGGTTGGTCACTTGGTTGCAACCGTACATCATCAAGCATCCAACAAACGAACGAACAAACAAACAAACGGACGACAAACGTGGCTCACTCGTGCTGCTTGTTGTCCTGCCATTCTTGGAAGAAACGAAGAACTGATCGAGACCGCGGCTGTATTTGGTGCTGTCTGATAACTATCGTGTGGGAACGGGGCATCAGCAGCCGCTCTTCTTCATGTTGTTGCTGTTGTTGTCTCTCCAACAGCAGATTTAAATTCAGCTACATCTTCTGTATAAATAAATACATAAGTTGTCTAGTTGATCTTGTATGCCGCCGCCGCTAACTGACCAATCGACGGTATAAAGCAGATAAGGATCTGGACCAAAAGTTTTGCTGCCTGAGGAATGAGGTCATCTCATGTCAAAAGTTTTGGCGCCGGAGAGCACGTGACGGAATTAGGACAGAAATTGTTATTGCAAAAAAGCACATACTCTAACCACATATGCGAAAAGAAGAAGACAGTTATTCGTGGTCACTTTTAAATAGCAGGCAGAAATAATTACAGTGTAGTTACATTTGAATCCTGTGTAACCTGGTTTGCATTCACAAGTGCCCGCATCGGGTCCTTGTTGATTGCAGTTTCCTGTTGAGCCATTCGGGTCGCAGTCGCATTTAATACACGGCCTGTCAGAGTTAACACTGGCATCAGGAGGTCGAAAGTAGCCCTTTATACACTGCTCACAATTTATACCAGTCGTATAATCCTGAAAGGATAACACATAATTAAATGTTCAGCTTTTGAATGTAACCGCAACGATAAAGTCCTTGGATACGCCATTAGAATATTAAATTCACGTCGTGTCGCACTTGCATGAGGTACTACTTGACCTAACTAAGAATTTTAAATTCTCATTTGAAAGGATTATAGAATTGCACCAACGGGATTCTAGTCTTGTAGTTCAGTCATCATCAATTCTGAATTTCACAGGACTAAACATTTATATCCACTCCCTTGGAAATACAGTCAAACCGGGATATGTGAGAACTGGGTAAGCGAGGAAACTCTATTAATGAGAGTATTTGCCAAGTCCCGTCATTTTGCCCTTCTAAAACCTCTATAAGTGAGAAACATAAAACCTGTATAAGTGACAGTCATTTTTCATGCGTGAACCTCTTTAAGTGAGATTGCTACTTGTCTATACCTCTATAAGCGACAGCTATTTTATGACTCGTTATGACTCGTTCTTAAATTTCAAGAGACTCTTATTTCATTCGAATGACCAAATCTGCGAATGACCGAGTAAGTCTTTATTATTTTATTATAGCCAAATGTGCGTACCGACTTGTTTATCAATCTTATTACAGTCAGATCATAAAAGCAGTTGCGAAGAAAGGTCCTGTACTTCTTCATAAATGTCTAAACAAAAAAAACATGTGTTGTCGAACCGTATTTTTATAGACCTCTATAAGTGAGACAAATTCCTCCTGTAACTCTGTAAGCTAGAAACTCGGGTTAGTGAGAAACCTCTATGAGAGAGAAACAGACCGCGGTCCCTTGAGCTCTCAGTTATCCAGGTTCGACTGTATTATGAATTTTTTACAGGGTTTTCACTAAGATTAAATAATCTACCAGGAAAGATTCTAATGTGCCAAAGTGATTCATTGTCAGATCCTCTTGTTAGATATATGTACTAGTATTCAAAAAATTATGAATAAATACGAAATTTGAATTACTTTACCGTACAGTTGTCACAGACCCCTCCACCCCGATAATTTCCATCAACATCGAGACTCAGTCCGTTTCTATCCACCGTTTCGTCGTAATGACAACTGATCGCATGACCGTGGCAGTTACAGGGAAAGCACTGTCTTGCGTCCCTGGAAGTTCCCGGACCCCACGGGCGTTGATTGTATAAAGGACAGCACTTGTTGCAGTTAGGTCCACACGTATGATGAGAGCATTCACATTCAGGATGCTGGAAAGATAAACTTCGACTAACTCCCGGTAATTAATTCAAACAGGAAAAGTTTAACCGTTTATTGTAATTTAGGTTGAAACATTACTGAGATAAATATACGACAATATTTTGATAAATTATATATATATAGTAAACATTTTATGCATAATAAAATTGTTCTGTTCCAGAGACAGATGGAAAAAAGGGCGGAGAAGTACTATTGGGGGAAAAGCAGTTTGGGTTTAGGATAAAACATAGAAAGCGAGTCAGACAAGGATACATACTGACACCGCTACTTTTTAGTCTGCCTACATATAGAAGACGCGATAAAAATAATTAAAGACGGGAAAACTTTAGGGGTAGATATATAGGGAAAATTATTAGTATGCTTAGATTTGCAGATAATATAGCAGTGCTAGCATCTAACAAGTAAGAATCAGAGATAGCCTTAAATATTTGTAAGTATTTGAAAAACAGTATGATATGAAAATAAATAAAAGTAAAGCAAATCAGAATAAGGAACAGTAGAGATAGGTTGGCAGGACACCTTCTCAGGCATGAAGGTCTGTAGTTAGAGGCATATTACAAGCAAAAACAAGAGTTAAGGGTACGGGGTTTTCTAGTTTTAGAGAAATGCTAAGATTATCTCAAGATAGGGAAAATGAAGGTGCATGTAAAAATGGTGAAGGCGCCGGACAAGTATCATCATGGTGTCTTCTGTCTCAGAATAGATACGCATTTCACATTATTTCTATAATTATCTACATGCGAAAAATGATCTAATCTAGGCCTTATTCTACTCCTCTTTACTCCTGTTTCTGCTTTTCATAGAAAATCTTATCAGCCTATAGCACCATATCTCAATTATTTGTATTGTCGCAAATTTTCATAAAAAAAAACTGCATATTGAAAAGATCTTTACAGTAGTTCCCACTAATTTGCTTAAAAATTCTATAACAAAAGAAAATTCTCAAATCCTTAAGGTTCACTGATGAATACAGTGTACAGAGAGTAATTATAATTGAATTTAATTAAAATTACAATAAAGAGGTGGTTGTTAGTCGCCAAATTTCTGGTAGTCTTTGCTCGCCTTTGTAAGGACACACAACTGCCAATAAGCCGGTGACGTTTGACGTTTCTCAGTTGCTGCAGACGGACCATATTTGAGCAAAGAGCTAAGCGCCAGCAGCGGTTGGTCACTTGGTTGCAACCGTACATCATCAAGCATCCAACAAACGAACGAACAAACAAACAAACGGACGACAAACGTGGCTCACTCGTGCTGCTTGTTGTCCTGCCATTCTTGGAAGAAACGAAGAACTGATCGAGACCGCGGCTGTATTTGGTGCTGTCTGATAACTATCGTGTGGGAACGGGGCATCAGCAGCCGCTCTTCTTCATGTTGTTGCTGTTGTTGTCTCTCCAACAGCAGATTTAAATTCAGCTACATCTTCTGTATAAATAAATACATAAGTTGTCTAGTTGATCTTGTATGCCGCCGCCGCTAACTGACCAATCGACGGTATAAAGCAGATAAGGATCTGGACCAAAAGTTTTGCTGCCTGAGGAATGAGGTCATCTCATGTCAAAAGTTTTGGCGCCGGAGAGCACGTGACGGAATTAGGACAGAAATTGTTATTGCAAAAAAGCACATACTCTAACCACATATGTGAAAAGAAGAAGACAGTTATTCGTGGTTACTTTTAAATAGCAGGCAGAAATAATTACAGTGTAAACTCTTTATAACGTCACTCGATTTAACTACAAACTCCTTAAAACGTCGAAATTGCTTGACGTTGGTTGGTTTACATTGTTTTCTATACAATATTACACTCTATATAGCGTCACGCTCACTCTATTTAACGACAACAATGCGGCATTATAAATCATTAAGCACTAAGATAAGAACTGCAGCTATGTACATTGTTGAAGAAGACGATCCTGTCCCTCCACCAAGCATCAAACATGTACTTGATGCAGCGAAACTATTAAAACAATACTTTTTATATAATCAAATCGATCCAGCAATACTCAAGATATGCGTAAGATACGTAACAAAATAGAATTAAAATATTGGAGCAGCAAAAAACATCAGACGAAGATAACAGGCTATACGCAATGTATGAATAATAATGTTCGTGTGCAAAATGTGTACTATATTGGTAAATGCATATTATTATAGAATAGTAAAATAATATCTTTTATTTCTCTCCATTTANAAAAAAAAATTTCGCAGACCTGTGTAATTTACAATGAAAATTCATTTGTTTTCTTAGAAACTATGCCTACATCATTTTAGGCAACAGTTGATTTGTCAAAATGGTAATTAGTTGAGTAATTAGATAGGCCCTAAGTAGTATTAGCCCAATACATACATAATTCACGATCCGACCCTGGGTTTGTTCTTACATTTATTTATCAACTTCAGGTAAGTAGTAGGTACTAGAATATAAGCATACAAGACAGTAAAACAAAACAAAATAAGTCTCCAAACAGACATTTCTTATTACGTTAATTATTGACTTGTTCGGAAGTCGATGTAAATGATCGGGTTGTTCGTTTGCTTTGATTAATCAGTCGACAGGCATCTTCCATCTTCTTGCCGTAATAAAAACATGATGAAGAAGATCGGATCGATCGTTTGTTCGTTTATTATGTTTACGGCTTGAAAAAACTTTCTTACAACAAAGTTGTTTAAGACTGACATGCGTATGTACGTGCATGTATGTGTGAGTGTAAACTACTATGTACATATTGTACGTGTATTTGTATGTGTATTCTTAAGTAAGTATGCCTGCCACGAGAATTGCTCGTTTTTATATCGGGCAACAACACGTGTTCGAATATCGTGGGAATAAAGGCAGATGTGCATGTGTATCGCCGAGAGTCGCCTCCGAGAATCTTTTGTAAATGGAATACGGCCACGTATCATCATCGTCGTCATTCGTGCAACTATTATAATAGATATTATATGTATGTACATACATAACACGTTCCTCTATTGCTCTATTTGTCCTTCACCAATTGAATTAAAAATAGTTCATTTCTTCTTTAATCGCTTTGAGTAGTGATAATGTACATAATCAACTAGTACTACTGTGAATCATGAGTTACGTAAGTACTCGACTACTGCTTCAGTTGCAATGTCAGGTCCATCAGGCGTTACTTTTTTCTGTTAAAACTTCATGAAAACAGACGATTTTTCCCTTGTTAATTGAATTCTATTCCCAAAATCCACCTTGAAAATTTGCAAATAACTTACAATTAGTTACTTATATTTCTGTTATGTTACCCGACTAGAAATTAGAAGCAGGTTAGCCCGATATATCTGAGGCTGTCCAGTTTAAGAAATTCCCAGTGAGGTCCTAATGAGGATTGAATAAAAATATCCGAAATAAGAATATACTTGTCAGGCCCAAATCAGGATGTCCACAGTTTATCCTATCAAAGTAGAAAATTGATGAAATCAAGTTTTCCACGCAAGGATCTTATCAGGATTAGATCACTTCATGCTTTACAGGGTAAATATAATTAAATTCTGATCAGGATTGAGTGTAGATAAACATGATTGGCCAGAATTTAAATAGCATCAGATGACTAGCCAAGAGAAAATGGATTTTCCTTCTTGTTAAATGTCAATTACAATTTTACCAGTCCTTTTATACGATGTCAGAAAAATTTTATCAATAAATCTATGGTTATCTTAAAACTGGCCTATTTTAATAATAAATTTGCAATCAGGTTTTGATAGGGTTCTTTGAATTTTCCTATTAGGTCCTAATTTTTATTTCCTTATCAGGTCCTTCTTAAAAAAAGCACAATAGTCGTACTCATATCCGCATGGGTGGTCCTCGTCAGGACCTTGTATGAGTCGAGGATATATCCTGTCTGGTCCACGATCATAATTTCTAGTCGGGAAGTATTAAATATTAATATGCACAAACAGGACCTGTACAAAAGTAAAATATATGTTTTCCAAGTAGTTACTAGCTATATTTTAAAGTCAATTTTGTCTCCGAATCATTTAATTCTAGACAATGATATACATTTTGGTTCTTATTTTATTTTTCCATTATGTAAGAAAACCTAAAATTATTTGAAACAATTCGCTCATATAGGTACAAACGTTTTCAACAATAATAATTTCTGTTCTATACCATGGGATGGCATTGGTACGAAGTATTGTATTAAACAGAACAGAACTATTATGTCTAGATATGCATAGGTAATATGTAGTAACGCATATTTACGAGCTTATTCTTAAGATGCGGAATTCATGGTCCTGATCGTAAACGACGTCCTGAATATGACCAACCTCTTCGCGTATAGAATCGCGCAGTTTATCATAAATTCTACTTCTTCTGCAGCCGGAATTAATAACAGCGATAAAGAAAATCAGCGACGACCAATGCCGCGCCAAGTAAAAAGCGCAACAAAATGATAGCGCTACAACATTAATATAAAACCTTGTTAAATAGGTGGTTATTAGGAATGAAACAAAACAATAGATAGGAGCGCCTAATGCGTCTACCGGAACAACGCTGTTTGATCCCTGGGGTACACTTTTTACTAGAAATTTGATTTATTTGAAAGAGTTCTGTTTGAAATACAAATTATACAAAATACTAAAGAGAATAGTAAAGTAAATACATAATATTATACATACATAAGGAATTGAATTATATTCTTACAAAAGAAGCGACGAAAGACCCAGTAATAATTAGGGACAAAATAATTGTTCTATAAATTTTCCCAAACCACGCTCTTTGCAGGAACTGCTACCTACACACACGATTTATTACTTCCTTTCTTTTCTCCTTTTACACATACAAATTTAAAAATAAATCTTACACTTAAAAATCTCCTTTTATTTTTGTATTTTTTATTTCCGTAGAAAGAAATAAAACGAAAACGAGGATTGTTTCAACTTATACAGGCATGCAAGGACAGGGGATGTACATAAACTAATAACAGTTTCCTATCTTTATTAAACAGAACGTTTCACAAGCCCTTCAATAAACTTTTTTCTTCCTTCTTTAAGGATATCAAATAAATAGATACACTAAGCTTGCAATATGTTACGCAATTATTATTATAATTCTACTTTCCCCTTAGTTTACTACTACGTATATTTCACACAACACCAGACTCGCTGTCTACTGTACGATGAGGAAGAAGTAGAAACCTCCTCCCTCTCCCGAGTATGCTCACTACATAGCTTGCCCCTTTTCTCACTAGTAATAGTTGAGACCTTTAAGACCATCATAATCGTCTACGTGCAATAAAACTTTAATATAAATTTGATATTAAATAGGCACGTTTTAATAATATTTAATAGAGATCTTGTCTTTGTAGTTTTTGTAAGCCTTTTATTCCAAATTATGATTAAAACCACATTCAGATATTCATCAGGTATACATTCTATATCAATTTTGATTAATACGGTTTATGTTATTAGTCTTGGTTAATGTTACATAAGCTTAAAGATAGGGTTACTCACCCCTGATGCGACGTTATGTCGGCAACTTGATGCATGACCATTACATACACATTGTCCTCCGATACTGATGTCCCTAATCGAATAGAAAAGCCTTTTAGGTAACTGCGGATCTTGTTGAACCCATCGTGGTACAGGATCAACGGTTGCCCTGAATCCTTGTAGTCTCATTCGAACGAATCGCGCTTTGGTGAATTCGAGTAGCTCGGGACTAGTGTCATTCGCTCCTGGACGACCGTGTATGAGAGACGTATGAACCTGAAAGAATGAAAATACAACAATTAATATGCTACACTAATGTAGCTACTCGAATCCCTTATATCAACCTACGAAATCAATAATTATTTACAGAAAGAGATCAACTAATTATTGTTGGTAAATGTCCTTGGTAAGGATAGGCTGGGCACCCGGTACTCCCGGAAGCCCGCCAGAACGAAAACAGGAACCATTAACAGTAGTTGTTTTGCTGGGTACCCAGTTACTCAAAATCATTGTCCCTATCCGGTGCAGTTAGTACTTTCATAATTTTTTTCAAACCTGATTTCGAAGACTATAATTTGTCACAAGAATTGCGTGCGATAGGTCATTTATTGTGGTAAAGGGAACGAAGAAAATTGATGGGAAGTATTATAGACCATGTAGACCACCAGGAACTTGTGAGATTATGCGTATACTTATGCCAACAATAAATCCACACAATTAAGAGGGTAAAGCTGATGAATTAGTTCGGCAGAGATTAGACAGTTTGTACACAAGGTCAATGTACCTACCGCAATATCGGGTTTTATGGAATGAAATGTACCTTAAGTGTTATTTACAGTAGAAGCAATTATTATTAATGTGCGTAAAATTTACCTGATTGCATCAATGAAAGTAAAAAACGGCGAATGCGCCTGACACTTTACCTACGAAAAATGTTGATTACAGTTTTAAAAAATATTTACGTTACAGGTAACTTAGAATACTATTTAATATGGAAGCACATTTATCATGGAATGTACTCATCCTATTAAATATTTAAATAAAATCTCAATGTTGAAAGAAATATTTCAATAGCAGAAGAACTAAACTGTAATTGATACTCGAAAGAAAACAAATAATATTAATTTTAATTTAATGAATTCCTAGGAATAATTCAGGTGAAAAACGAGACCATTTGTCTCAATTCTTTTTAGATATAAATTGACTGATTAAAAGCGACTCTAGAATGTGTTCATAAATATCTTACTATTATAATTGCTATTACTGTAATGGAGTAACATTGAGGAAATGTTAGAGGTAATTCAGTATTAGAATTCCAAAGTTTAATATTCTGCGGGCGTTTTCCATCGCCATTTAATTTATATTATAATCATGCCGGGTATAAGTACCAGATGGCAATTAAAAAGCATCTTATTACTGGAATTAAATGGCAATTTTCTAACAATTTTATTTTCCGCAAAAGGGACAGACAATTATAGCTTTAAAGAAAGGATACGTACTAATATTTCTCTCCTGTATTTCAAAAGTTTCTCATTAACAAATTGAATTTACCCAAAAAGATTATTGCGTAGTTTTCTATTTATGTATTTCAAAAGGAAATATCAACAAACACATTACACAGTAGCTGTTGTAACCGATGTCAATACGTTTTCCCTTCTGTTATTATTCGTTGATTTCATTTCTCCCTTGTTTATTTTTTCCGGGTCCAAAAATTTTCCCATCACATACGAAAACAGGCCGCGATGATTTAATTAGGAGCTCCGTGTTTGCATTAATTTGAATATTTTCGGGGCTTTTAAATGGATAGCCTATTGCGATGCATTTCGAAAATGAGATGCCGTTCATTATAAACGGGGGCAATTCGGCAGCGAGTATATCAAGAGAGCAGTGCGATGTCGATTACGACACATACCTACACATACTTACATACGCGATTGGGAAACTCGTTCGGTGATTTGCAAGTGAAGATAAAATTGGGTGGATAGTCGACCTGGCGGTACCTTTAATCACTCCAATTGACGCAGATGCATAAAGAAAGGCCACTTAAAACGATCGTAATCTTTTAGGCGGTAGACCACCGAGCTTTCCATCAACAAAACGCAAATTTTCTTTTCGTTAAGTCGGTCGCACACGTAACAGTTGCATCTTACAGTACTTACATAAGCGCAGTAGAAATTGTAGTTCTATTTTCAAATTTATTAAATAGCTGTATCTATGTATACTGTAAACTGTACTGTCTGAAGTTAAATAAAAGTAAAACAAAAATACTGGTATGCAAGGGAAGAAAAAGTAGGAAAAGGGCGAATATAAAGATAGGAGACGAAAAATTAGAAGAAGTGACTGATTTTAGGTATTTAGAAAGTCAGATAAGTCAGGACGGAAGGAATAGTGGAGATGTAAAGCAGAGGATAGCGCAGGGTCGAGTCGCCGTCAATAAAAAGAAGTCACTTCTATGCTCGCAAACGGTTAATTTAGAAATTCTAGAAAAATCGTTAAAGGTGTATGTTTGGAGAACGGCGCTGTACGGGTGCGAAACATGGGCAATGGGCAGTGGGCGCGGCGGAAAAGAAAAGGTTACAAAGGTCCAAATGTGGTGTTACAAGCGAATGGTGATGATACTGTGGATAGAGAAGATTAGAAATGAAGAGGTATTGAAAGAACAGGAGAACAGAGGACTCTATGGAAGTCAATAAGAAATAGGCGAGATAGGTTGGTAGAACACCTTCTCAGGTATGAAGGTCTCGTCAGAGACATATTAGATGCAGAAACGGGAGTTAGAAGAGGTAGAGGTAGACCTAGATTAGATTACTGTTCGCAAATAGTTAAGGATGTGGGTTGTTCTAGTTTTAAGGAAATACAAAGATTAGCTTAGAATAGGAAAGAGTGGAAGTGCGTGTCTAACCAGTCTTAAGACTGACGACCTTATGATGATGATAATCATCATCATCGTAAAGTCTTCAGTCCTAAGACTGATTGGACACACACCTCCTATTCTGAGTCAATCTCTGCAGTTTCCTAAAACTTTCCCATATCCTTAACTATTTGTGAACAATAATCTAACCTAGATCTACATTTACCCCTCTTAACTCCTGTTTCTGTTTCTAATAAGTCTATAAATTGTCCTAAGAAGGTGTCAATGCATAGTAATAACTGCGCTTTTATTTAAACAATTGTTTTCGATTACGCATTTAAATAATATCAGCGTACGGTACCATCCTTACTGGTGGGGGTGCGAACTCATCTGAGTCAGTTAACAGCGATGACCGCCAAGACCAGCGACACTTTAAATCTTTTCAAACCTTCTACGTCAACTGTAACTCTTTTCAGGAGCACATAATCCGGATTTTTCGTTCTCAATATTATCTACTAAGGAAGAGTAAATTGTGGATTTGGGGTCGAGGGATGGAAATGTCCAGAAAAGCTGTATGTGACACGATTGTGATGGATCGATGGAGTATGCTCAGATATAAAGCGGACAGCTGGGAAATTTCATATGTGGTGTCTTTTATATCGTGAAAGGACTGAAATTGAATGTCTGGCCGAAAACGCTTTACATTCTTCTTATATAGTCTGACAGATGTTAGAAAAATAATTACAGTTTAGATTTTAATTTAATCTGGTGTAAATTCTGATAAGTAGTTATTATTTATTAAAAGAAAATGTGATTAAAAACAGTA